AACTATAAAACACTGATGAAAGAAATTGAAGAGGACACACAAAAAATGGAAAGATATTTCATGCTCATGGATTATAAGAATCAATATTGTTAAAATGTCCATACTACTCAAAGTAATATACAGATTCAATGCAATCCCCATCAAAGTACCAATGACGTTCTTCACAGAAATAGAAAACATAATCCTAAAATTTATATGGAACCACCAAAAACTCACAATAGCCAAAATCATCCTGAGCACAAAGAACAAAACTGGAAGAATCATATTACCTGACTTCAAATTATACTACAGAGCTATAGTAATCAAAACAGCATGGTAGTGGCATAAAAAACAGACACAATAAACCAAAGGAACAGAATAGGGAACCAAGAAATAAATCCACACATCTATAGTGAATTTATCTTTGACAAAGTTGCCAAGAACATACAGTGGGGAAAGGATAGTCCTCTTCAATAATGGTGCTGGGAAAACTGGATTTCCATATGCAGAAGAATAAAACTAGATCTTTATCTCTCACCAAATATAAAAATCAAACAAAATGGATGAAAGACTTAAATCTAAAACCTGAAACTATGAAAATACTAAAAGAAAACACTGGGGAAATGCTTCAGGACATTGGTCTGGGCAAGGACTTCTTGAGTAATATCCCCAAAGTACAGACAACCAAAGCAAAATTGGACAAATGGGAACACATCAGGCTAAAAAGCTTCTGCATACCAAAGGAAAAAATCAAGAAAATGAAGAGACAACCCACAAGATGGAAGAAAATATTTGCAAATTATCCATCTGACAAGGGATTAATAATTAGAATATATAAGAAGCTCCAACAACTCAATAGAAAAAAAAAAAGTCAAATAATCCAATTAAAAATGGGCAAAGGATATGAATAGACATTTCTCAAAAGAAGACATACAAATAGCCAACTAAGTGAAATAAACCAAGCACAGAAAGACAAATCTCACATGGTCTCACTGATATGTGGGAGCTAAATATTAAAAACAATTGATCTCATGGAGACAGAGAGTATCAAAACATGTACCCTATAAATATATAACTACTATGTACTCATAATAATTAAAAATATTTTATAATGCCTAATGTTAGGCTGCTATTTTTTTTTTTTTTTTTTTTTTGAGACAGAGTCTCACTGTGTTGCCCGGGCTAGAGTGAGTGCCGTGGCGTCACCCTAGCTCACAGCAACCTCAAACTCCTGGGCTCAAGCAATCCTTCTGCCTCAGCCTCCCGAGTAGCTGGGACTACAGGCATGTGCCACCATGCCTGGCTAATTTTTTCTATGTATTTTTAGTTGTCCGATTAATTTCTTTCTATTTTTAGTAGAGACGGGGTCTCGCTCTTGCTCAGGCTGGTTTCGAACTCCTCAGCTCAAACAATCCGCCCGCCTCGGCCTCCCAGAGAGCTAGGATTACAGGCGTGAGCTACCGCGCCCGGCCAGGCTGCTATTTTTAAACACATATAAATCACAGTAAAAATTATTGAGAGCAATGAATACAGCTATAGAAATATGACAAAAAGCAAATATATCAAGATATAAATTATTACAAAATATCAGTGAACACTCTGCATTATCTCGTCAGATGGAATTTTACGGTTTAATTTCAACAACCGTCCAAGTTTTGCATTACAAATAGGATTGTCAAGAACAATTCTGTCACTTCATGGAAAACATTTGACAGTATTTGTTGCCAATTATAAAATTTGAGCTTTTTAGCAAAAATTAATATTTTTGGTACACTTATATCTGCCACCATGAGTTTGACAGCTTCGTAAGAGCTTTCTGATGATATCTGAAAGTATATTATGAAATAAGTAATCATTTGTAAGTTTGTTTAAACAATATTTTCCAAATAATATGTCATGTTACAAAGCCACATATGGGTAAAAAAAGATACATTCAAAATCTAAGAAAGATCAATAAATTTTAATATAATAGACTATGAAATGGATCATGAAAAGTACATTGAGATTAATTTCAGGTTTCACATCGTAACTAACACTTAAGAAACTATTACTTGTGGTATGAAAGAAAAAATCCACAATTAACTGAAAGGTTACTAAAAGGTAATTAAAATATTCCTCCATTTTTAAATCACATTTTCTGTGTGCCAGATTTTCTTTACATACTTCAGCCAATAAAATATAGCACAATAGATTGTATCAGAAGCTGATTTGAGAATCCAGCTATCTTCTGTCAAACCAGGTATTAGAGATTAGCAAACTAATTTTCATGAAATATAGTTGTTTCACAAAACATGATACTTATGTTATATAGTAACTATATAATGGGTTTATTACTATTAAATGAATTAATATTTTTCAGTTTCTGATTTAATTTCTAATACGGTAAATATTTATATACATAAGCCATAACCTATATAAACAAAAGCTCTTTGGGGTCCTCAATGATTTTTATGAATGTAAAAGGGTCCTAAGGCCCAGAAGTTTGTGACCTGTTGTGCTAGAGCCCTGAGGCTGGTGTTACAGATCCAGAAGAGAAGTAGATGCAGCCTTTGTGTGATGAATCACACAATCCAGCTTAACTAATGAATACGCAGGCTGGAAAGTGGCCTTAACATTTAAAAGAAAAAAGTGGAAACTGTTACAGTAGGAGGCTCATTAAAAAATTAGAGATTTTACCTAAATAAGAATATTAATCAAATGTTTTAAAGATTATAATGCAGAAGCAGGTATAGACTTATTCTGTATATTTCAGATGGCAAATCTAAGACGAATGGGTAATTATTACGAAATCGAATTTCAGTGAAACATATGAGATACATTTCCTGACCAGTAGAGCTGTGCAACAGCAGCAGCCTCCCGACAGTCCCTTCAGTCAACAAATATTGTCTATTACGTACCAACGCTTACTCTATTTGGGGATTCCACCAACAAATAAGATCCTGCCTTCATGTTGCTTACATTCCAACGCAAGAGACAGGCAAACAAACTGCACTAATTCCTGGGTCTAGGAAGTATTCTGATGGAAGGAAACAGGCTTTTCTGAGACTGTGGCAGGTGAGGGGCTGTAAGGCTACCACAGGTAGGATGTTCAGAAGTTGTCTCTCCCAATGAGGTGTAATATAAGCTGAGACCTGAGAAACAGGGAGAAGCAGCCTATGCAAAGAGAAAGGGCCACAAGTGCAAATATCCCATAAATAGAAAAGAATCTGGGAGTATTCTGAGAACAGTAAAAAAGAAGTATGACCAGAGCACAGTGACAGACATAAAATCGGAGAGGTAGGCAACATCCACATAATGTAGAGCATGATTCTCATCAATATCATATTAGACCAACTACATCAGAATCCCTCTTGGTGGGGCCTAAGCATCAGTATTTGTTTCAAGAGTCCTCTGGGTGATGCTAATGTACTGCCTGGGATAAGAATCACCAATATACAGTCTGTTAGGCTATGATAAGGAGTTTGGATTTCATTTTTAATATAAAAGTAAGCTACTGAAGAGTTAAGCAGGAAACTAGTAGGATAGATACACGTTTTTTGTTTTTGTTTTTAAATTTACTTTACAAAAAGATCACTCTGGTTGTTATGGAAAGAAGTAGAGAGCAAGAATAGAAAACTCTTCAATCCTGAAAGTTTTAAGAGATTTAATGAGCATTAATCAGGAAAGATACATGGGGTAGAGGCTTAGCCACTAGTTGGTGATGGCCAATACCAAGAGTATGATTTTTCAGAGACACTAAACAAACAACAGGTACAATCAGAGGAAACAGAAAAGAAAACCTACAAAAGAAGGAACATCCACAGGAGTGAACTGTTCTGTTCCTAAACATACTTTATCAACTTGATAATATGAGTTAATTGGCTAAATACGGTATTTATTTATGCCCTTACGTTGCCACCATATGTAAATTATATAGCTAAAGACATCTTCTTCAATATTTCAAATGAAGGCAGAGAATGGACTTAAAAATTTATCCTCACCTGAGTTGCAAGTCCAGTATTTTTACAGTTATATTAACTAAAGATAACGTTTAAAGTCGCTTTTATCTCACCTGGAATATTCTGTTCCTTTCAAACTAAAAATGAAATAATAATAAATTGATACAGAAATAAAGCAATAAAGCTTATTCGAATTCAAAAATACCTTATATCTTAAAGCAACAAAAACTTTATGCTATTTCATCAACTTGGTAATTATTATTTTTCTTTATTTTTGGGGGGTGGGGTGGGAGAGCAGAGTCTTGCTCTGTTGCCTAGGCTGGAGTGTAGTGGCGTCTTCATAGCTCACAGCAACCTCAAACTCCTGGGCTCAAACGATCCTCCTGCCTCAGCCTCCTGAGTAGCTGGAACTACAGGTGCACGCCACCGTGCTCGTCTAATTTTTCCTATTTTTAGTAGAGATGGGTCTCCTCTTGTTCAGGCTGGTCTTGAACTCCAGAACTCAAGGATCCTCCCACCTCAACCTCCCTGACTGCTAGGATTACAGGTGTGAGCCACTGTGCTGGGCCCTTGGTAATTATTTTTAAGTAGTACTCTTTAACCTTTAACTTAAAATCTGAATAGACTCCTATGTTTATGCTTCTTTGCCAGTTTCTTGTCACTTTCCCTGATATGAAGACAACGCATCAGGTCATTTTAACCTTAGTGCTGTTGCCTTTCCTTTTTAAAGAACAAAGTGAAATATGCCTGTGTCTCTAATAAAAGTAGGAAAACATTTGGCTCCATCTGTCTCATTTATCTTATCCATCTGTTCCCTCTAGGCATTTTGAGTTTGGAAGGCACTAATATAAAATTAGTGAGAAGGTTCTAGTCCTAGTTGATTAGTTTTACAGTATATATCTTACCTGATAATACAAATGATATTCCAGACTGTTTCTGTGGTAAAATGGAATATTTGGTAAATTATTTATAATATCAATCATCCTAAACAATAAAAAATTATCCACTAGAAAAATCAATAAATTCATAGCATTTAAGCTTAATATATAATATTTAATATACAATTTTTTAAAAGAAAATTACCTTTCAAAAGATGATTCAGGTCCATTGTGTCATGTAAGACTTTTTGTTTACAGCGGGGGTCTAAATTGGAATCTAACACTGAAGACTTTGAGGGGAGATTGGGCCCCTGTTTTTCTTTCTCTCTTTTGGCTGATTTCAAATATTTTGAATTATTTTTTAAATCCTCAACATCTTCATATACTTCTTGACTCACGTTTTCTTGCTTTTTAACTTTCACTTTTTGATCATTTGATGCACCCAGTTCAAAAGACTGAACAGGGCTGATGTCCGGCGTTGATAAAGGAGTTACATCAGTCACAGTATCTTCAGATTCCTCAGTGTACCCACCAAATTTTGGTTTAGTACTTGAAGGTTGTGTTCCTGTTGATTTTATTCCTGGCTTATTTTTATGTTTTGGTGAAAAGAGCATTGCACCAGATACATGTTTCTTTGATGATGGCTGTGAATCAGATATGCCATTATCACACCCTACAGCTGAACAATCTGTATCTGAACTTGAAGACGAGGAAGATAAAGAAGAGGAAGAGGAACTAGTTCTGGAATACTTTTTACTAATGATTTTTTTAAAGTTATTAGACAGTTTAGCTGACTTGGACCTTGCATGGAGCCTTTTCCCATCATCACTGCTTTCCTCTCCATCTGTATAGTAATCATCTTCACCTTCTCTTACAATTTTGGGGATTCTATTTGGAATATGTATTTTATGTCCTGTTGTAACATCACAAAATTTTTTTGATCTTGAAGGAGTTGTCAATGATAAAGAACTTCTGGTTTGTGCAATATCATTCTCTACTGGGTGGTCTTCTAGGGGGACTTTTGCTTTTCTTTCATTTCCCTTCTCAGTAAGATAATTTTCCTTTGTTTGTACTCCAGTTTTCAAGTTTACATTTTCTGTATCTTTATCTATTCTCTCTTCAGGGTCATCATCTTGCTTGTGGAAAACTGAGTTACTTTCACATTTCTTTGCTTCTTCAAAATCACTGTCAAAGAAAGAATGGTCCACTTCACCGTCTGATATATCTTCAAACCGATCCATGAAGGCGAAAATATATCTGATAAGGAATAAAGTGTAACTATCAGACTAAACAGTAATTTCCAAATACTTTTCATTTTTATATAGCAATTACATAATTTTCCCAAACTAAGAAATTTGAGTAATATATAAAGAGAAACATTACAAAACAAAACCAAAACCAAAAAACTCAGTGAAGTGATGATGGGGCTTTCACGGTAATAGTAAGTTGTACCAATTATTTGAAATATAAATAAGTCTAATAGTTAAAATTCACAAGAAAACAATAATAGATCACCAAGACAAGGGTATCACAAACATGGATAGCAAGTGGAACCCTAAGGAAAATTTGCCTTCTATAAATTAAGTATAGTAAGAGTTTAGAATAAGGATGGAGTTAAAACCTCCTAGGATCAGCTAAGCCAGCTTAAACACACATTATTCTAGTGAAAGTAGTGCAATTAAGATTGACAAACATTCATATTTCAGTACTTGCTGGCTTTGTCCTATTCTGCTCCTTCACTGAAGTTAGTAAAGAAGAAGCAGAAAGAAGGAGATGACTTCTATTAAATGTAAAACCTCCTGCTATACCTTCTTAAAGGGGAACAAAAACTCTAAGGCACATTTACAGGTTGCACAGGTAGCATGGAGTCAACTTCTGAGTATTTAATCATAGCCACTTAAAAAACCCCAGAACTCTCTGGAAGGCAGATCATTCCATTTCCAGAGCAAAAAAAAAGAAGAAGAAGGGCTGGGAGCATCTTATTATTGCCAGAAAGCACAATATTCAAATATGTTTGGGGTAGTGGTAATGAAACAAAGGAGTCCATTTAAAGGGCCTTCCACTGCCCAACCTTGACAATTTAGCACTGAAAAACAAGAAAGAAAAAGAGTACATAAAAATGAAAAAATAATTCTATGGATAGCCATGAGTCCATGATGATATTCAAGAGTGACAAATAATATGAGCTATGTTAAAGGAAAGGCATATATACATTTCTAATGATAATATGTAGTCAACAATGCAATTATGTGCTTACTCTGTTCATATTACAATTAATTCTATTTTACATCAAATCAGGCAGTAAAAGATTATGTAATCTGTATTCTAAACCAGACATAATACTCTGCAGCCTTTAATTGTTTAAGTGACCCTGCAACCTAAGAAAGATATAAAAACAAGTACAGATATGATTTTAAAATTAATCAAACTTGTATTAATATTAATGTGATAGGTTAATATGATAGGTTCAGGTATGTGTGGTAATACATTTTACATTGGATAATTCTGTCTGCCTTTGAGGCTTCGAAGAATTTAAGAGATTCTGATGCATCAGTTTTATAAAAATTTAACTGTTTATAATCTTTTTTTAAAATGCTTCAGGGAATCTGAATGATTAAATCAGTAAGTTTAGACTTAGTACATCTATAAACAGTGTCTAAGTGGTTAGGAAGATTTCCTTTGTTAGATTTGTAAGTGTCCTTGTCAGATGTTTGAGGTACTTAAGAAAATCAAATATAATGAAAGACTGTAATGTTAAGTATGCAAATGGTATACAATGTTCAAAGAAATTTAATATATTTTATAAGCTAAGTGAAGATTAACCAAAATATGAGTGAGTTTTTAAATTCTAACACATGTAAGTAGATCTTAAAATTTGGGAAACAGAATATAAAATTTATACCTAATATTAAAATGTAAAATGTAATACTTTCCATAGCATAGACTAATATCCTCTTTACATTTTAAAATTCAAGCCGGGCGCGGTGGCTCACGCCTGTAATCCGAGCACTCTGGGAGGCCGAGGCGGGTGGATCGTTCTGAGCTCAGGAGTTCGAGACCAGCCTAAGCAAGAGCGAGACCCCGTCTCTACCAAAAAATGGAAAGAAATTAATTGGACAGCTAAAAATACATGTAGAAAAATTTAGCCGGGCGTGGTGGTGCGTGCCTGTGGTCCCAGCTACTCGGGAGGCTGAGACAGTAGGATTGCTTGAGCCCAGGAGTTTGAGGTTGCTGTGAGCTAAACTGACACCACAGCACTCGCCCCAGGCAACAGAGTGAGACTCTGTCTCAAAAAAAAATAAATAAATAAAATTAAATTAAATTTAAATTGACAGCCTCCTTCCCAAATCCTCAAAGAAAGATACCTAGTAAGGTTTTAGGTATCATGTTTATTCACATAGAAATCAAAGTCTATTCTCTCAAGAAATTTATAAAAACTGAAACTTGTCTCTAATTAATTTTTGGAGCCATAAAAAAAATCTATAAACCCTTTGAATCAGTAACTTTACTTCTGGAAATTTATCTTAAGAATGTAACACTAAAAAGGAAATGGTATTAATTACACCACTACTTGTAATATTGAAAAACTTGTATAGAAAAATATGATTCCATCAAAATAGTTATTTAGATTGGGGGTCAGCAAACTACTGTCCATGGGCCAAATCTGGCCTGCCATCCGTTTTTGTAAATAAAGTTTTACTGGAACACAGCCCCACTCATGGGTGTAGTAGGTATTGCTTCTGACAGCTTTCACACTACAACGGCAGAGCTAAGGAGTTATGATAGAGACCCTATGACCCACAAAGATGAAAATATTTGCCATCTGACCCTCTACTGAAAAAGTTTGTAGACCCCTGACTTAGATGATATATCAACTTGAAAAATACAGAATACAAAATTGTTATCTATATTGGATCAATAATACAATTTCTACACTTAAACAAAAACTAGGGGGGAAAAGGGCAGAAATTAAGAGTTGATCTACTAGAAAAAAAAATCAACAATCCCACTGCATTTTTTATATTTCCATAATAGTGTTTTTTTTTTGAGACAGAGTTGCCTGGGGCGAGTGCCGTGGCGTCAGCCTAGCTCACAGCAACCTCAAACTCCTGGGCTCAAGCAATCCTACTGTCTCAGCCTCCCGAGTAGCTGGGACCACAGGCACGCACCACCACGCCCGGCTAAATTTTTCTACATGTATTTTTAGCTGTCCAATTAATTTCTTTCCATTTTTTGGTAGAGACGGGGTCTTGCTCTTGCTCAGGCTGGTCTCGAACTCCTGAGCTCAGAGCGATCTGCCCGCCTCGGCCTCCCAGAGTGCTAGGATTACAGGCGTGAGCCACCGCGCCCGGCCCATGATAGTGTTTGTGCCATAAATTAAGCAAATAAGTGATGAACAGAAGTCTGCTCAGCGTTTGAAAAAGAATGAACTGAGTAGGACACACCCAGGCTCAAAACTTGATTCTGCCACTTGCAAATGGTTTCATAGCATAGCCCAGAGCAATATTTTATAAACTGCAGGTCACAACCCAATGTAAAATCAATTCAGTAAGTCATGTCAATCATTAAACCAAGGAAAATAGAATATAGTATAATAATCAAGAGTAAATTGAACATAAAAGTAACATTTCATGAAACTTTTGTTACTTAAATGCATTGTGTGTTCTAGTCCTTAATGTAAAAGCTATTTCTTACTGAGGGTCTCAGTGAAGGGTCTGAAATGCCACTGGCTATGGAGATGAGAAACTGTCATCAAAAGGTAATGTACTATAATGCATATATGAAGATGGAATGAAAATTTAAACTTTGGGTGGTATTAGAGACAATATCAAGTGTCATAGGTAATATTACATTGTCTAGAAAGATTCTGCTTTGCTAGTGGATTAAGGCCACACTGGAATGAATCAGGATCTGAAGTTTAAGAAATGTTGTAATTTAAATTACAAATATAGAAGGAATGTTTTCTTGAAATTTGAAGAAACTGACATCAGAGAAAATCATTTAATTATAAGAGGTGGATGATTATAGTGTCTGAAGAAATGAAGAGATACTAAGAATAACGAAAGAGCAATTTTAGTAATCATAATAGAATTACAAGTTTCTATGAAAGCTTTGCCCAGAATTGGTATATCATTATATAAACTTATTAACAGACAATGGTCTCTTTTTGATTTTACTGGAAATATACTGATAGAAAAGCTTAAATTTTCCTAATCAGTTAAAAAACAACTTAAAAAACAAATCAACCATCCAAATCATTCTAACCCACATCACTGATAATAAATTGTTTAAATATTAAGGAAATAAAATTACTAGCATAAGTCAGTCTCACTTGTGTTAGTGCCATATGCTATTCTACTACTAACAGCTAAATGTACTGAGTACTTACTACATGCTAGCACTGCTCCAGTGCAGCTTTCAGGTTTTATCATTCTCATTTTCCAACGAGGAAACTGAAGCAGAGCAAGAATTTACAAAAGTCACACAGCTACCAAGGGGCACAGCCAGGATTCTAAAGCAGGCATACTTTAGGGATCATGTTATTAACTACTGCTCTATTCTGCTTCTCAGTATGGTCCTTCAAAAAACTAGATACTGGCCGGGTGCGGTGGCTCACGCCTGTAATCCTAGCTCTCTGGGAGGCCGAGGCAGGCGGATTGTTTGAGCTGAGGACCTCGAAACCAGCCTGAGCAAGAGCGAGACCCCGTCTCTACTAAAATTAGGAAGAAATTAATTGGACAACTAAAAATATATAGAAAAAATTAGCCGGGCATGGTGGCGCTTGCCTGTAGTCCCAGCTACTCGGGAGGCTGAGGCAGGAGGATCGCTTGAGCCCAGGAGTTTGAAGTTGCTGTGAGCTAGGATGACACCATGGCACTCTACCCCAGGCAACACAGTGAGACTCAAAAAAAAAAAAAAAAAAACCTAGATACTGACACTTTTTTTTTTATTGCTTTTACACATTGTGTTATCTATGATTTATTTGATGGCAAACAGTGGGCAAGATAAAACCCTCCCAACAATTTTAAAAGAAAAATGGGACCTGTTTAGCGGTATGATTTTAGGAACTATTGCTAAAAAGCATAGTTTGTACAGTCAAAATTAGATATACATGCCAGTGCGTGACACATTTTGCTGGATGTTATTTGCCACGTAGCAGTTTTCCTCTAACAAAGTAAATTGGAACAAATCTCATTGGTGCCACAAATTAAAAACCATTACCCTAGGTAACGAGAATTTAGAACTCCGAATTAAGTAGTGACTCTCTCTATCCCAATCTGACCTCATGACCAAACTCTTTCCAAAAAGGGTAGTGAATTCCAAAGGTATTTCCAGCAAGGAGAGTGACAATTCTGTAAGTCACTAAACCTAAAATGTTTCCAGCATGCCTGCTTTTTATGTACGACATAACAGAAGAATTTCCCTGTTTAGTGATCCCTGGTAACCTTGAATGAGACTTAGCCAAAGTTCCTCATGATGGCGTATGGTACATAAGTGTTAGGGCTAATCCTCTTCTCAACCCCTATCCTCACGGTTCCCTAACAGTCCTGAAAGGAAAAGACTTCAATCCCCTTGCATTAAGAATGAAGAAACTAAGGCATGGCAAATTCAAGTGACTTGACCAATTTCAATTATTAGTTTGTAGCAAGTTTGCCTTTTATGACTTTCAGATTTATCAAACTTGTGAATAAAAGAAAGCTGAGATGGACAGAAGCACTCAAGATCACAATGCTAGAAAGTGCAATCTGGACTGGAAACCAGGCAGTCTGGCTTCAGAATCAGCACTCCTAATCATTACGCTACATTGAAACAAGCAGAGGAAAATTAATAAGCCAAAATCCTAGTAGGGAGAGATATTCCAAAGCAGCCAAAATAATAACACAATAATATCACAGATACAGATACAGAAGGAGAAAAGAGAAAGTACACTGAGGACCTCAGCTTAAAAAGAAGGTTCAGTTGAAAAAAAGATTTGAAACTCACCAAGTGACAAAAGTGTAACTTGGAAACCAAAAAACTAGTATGTTCTAAAGTCATACCAGAATGGCAGTGTACATGCTAAAACAAGTTGCATTATATTCTACATGGTCAAATGATTTCCTGAATGAAGCACTTCCTTCTAGGACTATGGTGAAGAGTCTATAATCTAAGTCATGATAAATAGTTTAGAGAACAGATCTCATAGTGAGTAAAAATAATGACTAAGCATATGTCCAAATACCTTCCTATCAGGACTATAAAATGGGAAAAGATTATAGACCTCTTATTTGTGGTTCCAAGGTAAAACTTGCATTAACAGATGGAGTGCATAAGAAATCTGTTATGAGCTTAACATAAAGACTGTTTGAAAGTGGAATGGGCTACTTTGTAAGATTCTGAGCCCCAGGTTACTAGATATACTAGAGCAAAGACTGGATAACCACTTGCTGGGATGCTGCACTAGGAGGATATGATTTTTCTAAACCCTGAACTAGGTCTTAATCCCAAAGAACCCATAAGCTATCAAACAGCATCACATGCTACAGAGAAATCTTTCACGAAAGGAAGAGTCAATTTGATGCAGCAAACTTCATTGTTGTCTTAAAGAAATTGCCACAGCCACCCCAACCTTCAGCACCTACCAGCCAGGTCAGTCAGCAGCCAACATCAAGGCAAGAATCTCCATCAGCAAAAAGATTATGACTTGGCTGGGCGTGGTGGCTCACGCCTATAATCCTAGCACTCTAGGAGGCTGAGGTGGGAGGATGGCTTGAGGTCAGGAGTTAGAGACCAGCCTGAACATCAGTGAGATCCCATCTCTACTAAAAATAGAAAGAAATTAGCTGGGCAACTAAAAATAGGAAAAAAAAAAACATTACCCTGGCACGGTGGTGCACATCTGTAGTCTGAGCTACGCAGAAGGTTGAGGCAGGAGGATTGCTTGAGCCCAGGAGTGTGAGGTTACTGTGAGCTAGGCTCATGCCACAGTACTCTAGCCCAGGCAACAGAGCAAGACTCTTGTCTTAAAAAAGAAAAAAAAGATTATGACTTGCTGAAGGGTCAGCAAGTTAGCTTTTTTTAAAATTGATAATGTAGTTTTATCAATAAGGTATTTTTTAAGGTATGTATATTGTGTTCTTTAGACATAATGTTATTGCACACTTACTTAACATAGTATAGTGTAAACATAACTTTTATATGCACTGGGAAACCAAAAAATTCATATGACTTGCTTTATTACAGTGGTCTGAAACCTAACCTGCAATATCTCAGAGGTTTGCCTAGAGAAAGAAGTGTTTACCTTCCCTCAGTATACAACCCCTAGAGGCCTAAAAACTTTTTTTCATTTGTTTTGTCATGCTTCCACAATTTATTGTCCTTTGTTAAAAATTTTCAGGCTATTCGCTTCTTTGGGTCTTCACTTCTTTTCTAGGAAAGGCCTGTGTCCGTAAAAATTAACATCATATAAAATTTGTATGCCTTTTCTCCTGTTAATCTGTGTTGTCAGTTTAATTTCCAGAGCCCCAGCTATAGAACCTAAGAGAGTAGAGAGGAGTTTTTTTTCTTCTCCCCTTCCCTACACTTGTCTCCTTACCAAATTGGAGCTCCTGATGTCCTGCTCATCTTTATATCCTCAGTGCATAAAGGAGGGCCTGACAAATAGTCATTCAAACGATGTTTACCTGACAAAGGAGTCTGGAGTTAGGAGACTTAAGATTGAGCCCTGGTTCTGCGCTCTGCTTGCTAGGTAGGTAGAAAATCACCTCATTTCCAACCTGGTTTCCTTGATAGTTTCCTGTTCTCCTCCCTCACCCCTCCAGACACACACAGCAGAACCATCCCCTTCTGTTTCCATAGTACAGTCATGCAGTCCCCAAGAGTTGTAAGCCACCTGCATCCCTAAGTTGTCACAGTTCTTGAGAGGTGGTGCAGACAGTCAGGTGCCTGGGAGATTTTTCAGGTGAAATTTATGTTAACAGTATCCAAAAGATAGGGATATTGTAAGGATTTAAACACTCAGGTGATTTAACTTAATCTACCAGAAAATTTATCCAACAATCCCATCCCCTAAGCAATCCTTTTGATAACTTTTGCTTCCAAGTTAGTGAGATTCAACTTACATTACGGAATAAGCAAGAAAATGGTGGCTTAAGAAGGTAGTTAAGATTCTCTTTACAGCACTTTGGGAAAGGATAAAATTAAAGACCAGTTCATAAGACCATTATAACCCTCTGGTGCTCAATCTGTCCTGGTTCTTGCCAAAGCTGCCTGGGAGTCACTTGGACACGCACCACTTGTGTAGCTCATGCAGAACCGGCAATAGAAATACCAGTGCTTTCACTACACATCAGGAAAATACACAAAAAGAAATCTGGCATTTTTTTTTAAACTGTCATTTTGCTACCGTGACATTACATATCTGAAGTTAGATATACAGTATAAAAGGGCCCCAATAAGATATCCAATTGCGTGGCATGAAAATCTCAGCCCAAATTAAACACCTGTTCTCCAGAACTCGAGGATCTGTTGACGATCCCCTCCCGACCTCGGGAGACAGCAGAATATAAATGACAGCTCCTCAGGCCTCAGGTTCACTTACGCGGAGATGGGCCGGAGCAGTCACAGCCCTGTGGGTGTCGCCACCACAACTCAATTTAGAGCCGATCGCGGCCCCCCAACCCCCACGCCACCCCGCACTCGACCTGAGGGCAGGACAGGCCGTTTCCGCCCCGGCCCCAGGGACCCACCGGCCGCCTCGGACGCCTTTGTTGTAGTTACACCCGCCGCCCGAGGGGCCGGCCCGGCTGAGAGGTGGCTGGGCGGAGGGCAGCGGCCCCAGCGGGCTCCTCCTTCCCGCCTCCCGCGCAGGCTTCGTTATACCAACCCCGAGTGCTCGCCGCCGCCTGGGTTCCGGAGGGGGAAACGGATGCCGAACGGAAGGGACGCTGGCGGGCGCACCGCGGGCGAGGAGGCAGCAGCGCCCGCGCGGCGCTCACCCAGGAGCCGAGGCCACTGCCTCTCGAGCGGCGCCCGCGACGGTGGGGCCTGACTCGCGCGCACGCGCCGAGGCGCTCTCGCAGCCCTGCACGCGGCCCGGGCGTGGCGGACTCGCGCTTCCGGAGGCGGAGAGGACGGAAAGGGAGAGGAGGGGCCGCGGGAGGCGCTGGGGCTTCGGCAGGGGCGGGGGCGCACGCCTGGCCCGCGCCGCTCAGGACCGGCGTCACAGAGCTGGTGGGCCACGCGGGGGCTCCGGGAGAGCGGACGGAGAGGTGAGGAGAGAGCGCCGTCGGTGCCTTACTGCCTCTTCCCTCATTGTTGAGGGCAGCGCGGGTAGGCCTAGGTGTTACCGTAATTTAATGGGGAAAGCTGCTTTATTATCCTGTCATTTCTTTACAAAAACAACAATGGTAGGGCCGGGCGCGGTGGCGCGCGCCGGTAGTCCCAGCTACTCGGGAGGCTGAGACGGGACAATGACTTGAGCCCGGGAGTTCAAGACTAGCCTGGGCAAGATAGCGAGACTCCGTCTCAAAAAAAAAGAAGAAAAGGAAAATCAAAACAATAATAAAAATGGAGGCTGGCTGTGTCTTCGTGATAAGTTCAGTTCAGACAACTAGTTTGTTCTATGGGCCAGAGACTAGTAACATGTTAGAAAGTCATCAGCCTATTAGCAAATGAGGTAGGCAGTTAATCTAAGAAAAATGATCTCTGCAGAATATATATATATATATATATATTTTTTTTTTTTTTTTTTTGAGACAGAGTCTCACTCTTTTGCCCGGGCTAGAGTGAGTGCCGTGGCATCATCCTAGCTCACAGCAACCTCACACTCCTGGGCTCAAGCGATCCTTCTGCCTCAGCCTCCCGAGTAGCTGGGACTACAGGCATGTGCCACCATGCCCGGCTAATTTTTTTCTATATATTTTTAGTTGTCTGATTAATTTCTTTCTATTTTTAGTAGAGACGGAGTCTCGCTCTTGCTCAGGCTGGTTTCGAACTCCTGAGCTCAAACGATCCGCCCGCCTCGGCCTCCCAGAGTGTTAGGATTACAGGCGTGAGCCACCGCGTCCAGCCTGCAGAATATATTGAATGCCATAATTTCCCACTGTTGAACTTTCAGGCACATAATAGGTGTGGTAGAATAATGGCACCCCAAAAGTGTCCATCTCCTGATCCCCAGAACACAGGACCATGTTACCTTACATGGCAGACAGGATTTAGCTCATGTGATTAAGGATCAAAATGGGAATATGAGCCTGGATTATCCAGTGGACCCAATGGGATGACCACAAAAAGGGATGGAGTGATGTGAGGAAGAGGCAATGAGCCAGGAATGCAGGTATCCTCTTGCAAGCTGAAAACTGGGAGGAAACAGATTCTCCCCTGAAGTGTTGGGAAAGAACTCAAGCCTGCAAAAACCTTGATTTTAGACTTCTGACCTCCAGAACTGTAAGATAATAAATTTGTTATTTTAAACTACCATGTTTAATAATTTGTAATAATTTAGTAATTTGTTATAGCAGCAATAGCACACTAATATAGTAGATATCAATTGTTTACATGAAAGTGCAAAGCAAGTAAGTATGGGTTTAACCCTATCCCAGGGAGTAAGGAATTGTCTATATTTATGTTCTTCACAATGCATTTTGTACTTGTTCATCTCAATTACCAAAAGTACAAAGAATCAATTCTGTTCTAAAGAAAGGATTTCACTTAATTCTCCTTGATAAAACTATGCTTGCACCACTTCTCAGGGATAGTTGTCTACCCTGTGGTCAAAAGTTTATGCAGTAAAAATAACGTATAATAAAAAAAGGAAAAAAAGTTTAATTTATGAAGGACTTGAGTAGATATTTCTCCAAAGAAGCTATAGAAATGGCCAGTAAACACATGAAAAGATATTCAATATCAGTAATCATTAATGATAATGCAGTCACTAATCATTGCATTAGGGAAATGCAAATCAAAAGCACAATAAGATACCACTTCACATCCACTAGGATGGCTGTTATCAGAAAAACAGTAATAAGGATTGGCAAAGAGTTGGAAAGATTGGAACCCTCATGCACTGTTTGTTAGAATGCAAAATAGTATAGCAGCTATGGAAAATGGTATGACATGTCCTTGAAAAATGGAACATAGAATTATATAACCCAGTAATTCCCGTCTGGATATATACCCAAAAAGAATTGAAAGCAGGGTCTCAAACAGATATTTGTACACCAATGTTCATAGCAGCGTTATTCACTATAGCCAAAAGGTAGAAACAACCCAAGTGTTCATCAACAGATAAACAAAATGTGGTATATACATACAATGGAATATTATTTAGCTTTGAGACTTGTGTTCCTCTGACTGCACATTACAACATAAAGGTGTTCTGCAGGACAGACAGAATGGAAGGTGTACAAGGGTTCTCCGGAGGGACAGAACCAATTGGACAGATACAGATGTAGGTAGACAATATGAGCAGGGATATTGGCTTGCTTGATTACGGAGGTTGGGAAGTCCCACAACAGGCAAGCTGGAGACCCTAGGATACCGGTGGTGTGGCTCAGTCCAGTCTGAAAGCCTCAGAACTAGGGAATCCAATGGTGGAACTCTCAGTTTGAGGCTAAAGACCTGAGAACCCAGGGGCCAGTGGTGTAACCCGGAGTCCAAAAGCCAGAGAGCCTGAAGTTATGATGTCTAAGGACAGAAGAGTATATCCCAGCTCCAGGGGAGAGAGGAAACTGCCTTTTTGTTCTGTCTGGGTCCCCAGCTCATTGGATGGTGCCCACCCATATTGAAGGCGGATCTTCCCCACTCGGTCCACTGTCGAACACCAATCTCCTCTGGATACCCAGAAATAATCCTTACCAGTTCTCTAGGTAATCCTTAATCCAGTCAAATTAACACCTAAAATTAACCCTTATTTTACCTCACTTCTCACTGTTCCTCAAACCATGCACAGAGTGGAGGCCTAGCTAGTATTTGCTAAGGAAATATATGAAGTATCAGTGCTGACTTAGCAATATATTTCTCCAAAGAAGATATACAAATATGCTTTGAGGAAGTTTTCTGACCATGGGTTTACATTTTTCTAGATCTATATTACTGTTGGAAATGATATACTAGTGTATTGGAAAGATAATGGTCTTAAGAGTTACAGGCCTGCAGCTATCAGTGTCAGACCAGTTTCCCCTTTACTGATGATACAAGTTATAATCACTTAGCGCTTATCAGAGAGGGCTGGGTAAGGTACTGCTATTCTCACAAAGCAACAAACCTAAGCACTTTTTTTTTTTGAGACAGAGTCTTGCTCATGTATTCCCCAGCTAGAGTGCAGTAGCGTCATCATAGCTCACTGCAACCTCAAACTCCTGGGCTCAAGCTAGCCTGTTGCCTCACCCAAGTAGCTGGGACTACAGGCATGCACCACTTTTTCTATTTTAGTAGAGACTGGGGGTCTCCTTCTTGCTTAGGTTGGTCTGGAACTCATGACCTGAAGCAATCCTCCCATCTTGGCCTCCCAGAGTGCTAGGATTACAGGCGCAAGCCACCACACCCCGCCAAAACTAAACACTTTTAAGCATGGAATACAAGTGTTGGGCTCCTGAATTTAAACCTTGTTTTTTCTCCTCTGTAAAATGAGATGACTAAATCACAGAGTTCTTAGGGAAGCATCATGGCATAGTGACTAAATGCACAAGCTCTGAAGGTAGACCACGTGAAGTGATAACCAAATCCTAGCTTTATTATTTATTAGCTGTGTAACTTTGAGCAAGTTATTTCACCTCCTGTGCCTCAGTTCACCATATGTTGATGGAATTAACAGTGGCTGTCAGGGTTGTTGTGAAGATTCAATGAAGTATGTTTAGTGCTTAGAACAGTATCTGGTACACAATAAGTGCTCACTTAGTTGCTAGCTCTGAACTAGAGTTTAAATTGGAAAATATATAAAGCCTTCAGAGTACAGCCCCTGGAATGTAAGTGATCAAAAAACATTGACATGATTGTTGGTGATAACAAGCTACCATTCTTTATTTGAAATAATTTGGATTTGTAGCATATACTTTGAGGAGCCCCAATGGGACAAAAATTAGCAGTTCTTTTAGAGGCAAAAGGGCTTCTTCAAAATCAGTTATACTGCTTTATTTAAAAAACAAACAAAAAGGACAGGAAGGTAAGTAACTTCTTTTGATGTCATCACCTTGGACTGGTAAAGTCACATCTAGCATGAGGCACTCATTATCTCATTTTTGATTTGCAAGGTTTAAGAGGGAATGAAGTGCCCCATGAATACCAGTTAATATTAAAAACAAAAGATACATCTGCTGCTTTATTGGTCTCACCAGTAATTGCCAGTGTTTATGGAGCATATTGACATCTATCTTCTCAGCAAGCATTATGTAGATAATACTAGCTGGGACTACGATAGAAGAGGCAAGTATGTGCTCTAAAAATTATCTGGACCACTTTCTTTTGCGTGGGTAGTATCATTTGTACTGAATAATTGGCAAAAAAAACCAAACCAGAATTGGAACCAAAGTGATTATGGCAGCTGCGTACACCCGGTGACACCAGGAAGACTTCTTTGGACGTTTCCATACCTAGGAATCGCAGGCTTCATTTACTCCTCCACATGTGTCTGATTCCTTACCTAAGGCGGCAGGGTGGGAAACGGAAAGTTGTAAAGAGAAACTGCTGAAAGTGAGGATCGGGAATGGTTGCCTATTTAATCTAAAGAGCGGGTTAAAACAAGGCAGAAATTTTGCTGGCAATAAGCAAGGCAAGGAGGTTACTTGTCCGTGGTGAGCGGAGAGCGAGAATTAAGGGATCACCTGAGCTGGAGTATCACAAATGCTTCTGACACCTGCAACAAAATTTTCCATTAACAGACGGGAACCTGGGGGGAGGCGGGGAGGGAG